TATTGAATTCAGAGGTATGAACTCGGTTTGTCAGCCGAGCTAGATCCGCAAACCCATTCGTATTATTTGAGTCATCTTGACAGGAACTCTCGGTTTTCTGTACTTAGCTCGAGCTGTAGACCAGCTACAGAGCTCATATGAACAGAAACCGGATCAGAATCATCAGTTGCGTTTGTCTGTCGAATCCAAAGCTCTGGACGCGGTCTGCTGCCCGATCTAGAATCGCGAAACTATTCGTATTGGTCGAGTCATCTGAAGAAGTGCTCTCGGGTTTCTGCACTCAACTCGCGCTGAGGGGAGCTACAGTGCTGGTGGTCACAGGCATCGATTTTAAGACATCAGGCGCGTCCGTCTGTCGAATCCAGAGCTCGGAACTCGGCCTGCTTCTCGAATTAGGTTTGCGATTACTGTATTGTTCGAGTCATCCTGAGAGGTGTTGTGGGTTTTTTGCACAAAATTCGGGCGGTGGGAGGAAAGCTGCAGGGCTGGTCATGAGAGGAGTCGATTCGCAGACATCAGACGCGTTTGCCTGTCGCATTCAGAGGTCAAATAATATTCACTTTAAGTCGGAATGTTAGAAGGTGCTGCTGGTTTTCTCAAACTCAGTCGAGCTTGGAAGCTCTACGAGTTTCCCGGCGGTAACCAAGGTTGACGCTTTGCCGCCGGCGCCCAGTCTCGACGGAACTTTTGCTGACTTTTGGTCAGTTTAAAATGACTCGTAGAGCTTCTTTGAGAGCGCAGCGGCGAAGCTCAAGAGCTCTAGTATTCTTCCCGTGATATTCGATCTTATTCCCGCTCGCCATCTTGATATCAGCTCAATCGGGTGGGTATTACTATCGAAAAGCGTCATGGCGGGATCGGCCGTTTCGAGTCATCTTGATACGCGCTGTCGGTTTTCTGAACATAACTCGAGCTGAAGGACAGCTACAGGGCCAGTAAGCACAGCTAATCGATGTAGAATGATCAGGCGCGTTCGCCTGTTGAACCTAGAGGCCTGAACTCGGTCTGCTAGCCGAGCTTGGTTCAAAAATCTATTCGTATTATCCGAGTCATCTTGACAGACGCTCTCGGTATTTTGTGCTTAACTAGAGCTGTAGGCCAGCTACAGAGCTCATAGTCACATAAATCGATTGGAAATCATCAGGCGCGTTCGTCTCTTGAATCGAGAGCTCTGAACTCGCCCTGCTGCCCGAGCTAGAATCGCGAAACTATTCGTATTGTTCGAATCATCTGAAGAGATACTGTCGCTTTCTGAACTTCACTCAGGCTGTAGGGGGCTACAGTGCTGCTGGGGACAGCAATCGATTTAAAGACATCAGGCGCGTCCGCCTGTGGAAGCCAGAGGTCGAGTAAGATGCTATATTGTTCGAGTAAGATGCTATATTGTTCGGTCCGCGAACCTGTTCGTATTGTTCGAGTAAGATGCTATAGGTTTTCTGCACTTAACTCTGGCTGTACGGGAGCTGCAGGGCTGGTAATCACAGGAATCGATTCGGAGAATCAGACGCGTCCGTCTGTCGCATTCAGAGGCCTCAACTCGGTCTGATACTCGAGCTGGGTTTAGGAAACCATTCGTTTGGTTTGAGTTATCTTGAGAGGTGCTGCTGATTAGCGCACGTAACTCGGGCTGTAGCAGAGCCACAGAGCTCGTACAGAAGACAATCCAGAAGCATCAGGGGGCGTTCGGCTGTTGCATTAAGAGGTCTGAAATCGCTTGGGCTGAAAAACTATTTGTTCTCTGCAATTTATTTTCTACATTAAAAATAGTCAGGAAGCTCTACGAGTCCCCCGGCGGTAAGAAAGGTTGACGGTTTACCGCCGGCGCCCAGTTTTGTTCTCGAAATCCAACAATTCGTTAGAGCTCTAGTATTTTTTCCCGTGATATTCGATCTTATTCCCGCTCGCCATCTCGACCTCAGCTCGATCGGGTGAATATTTCTATCGAAAAGCACTGTGGCGGGATCGGCCGTTTTGAGTCATCTTGATACGCGCTGACGGTTTTCTGAACATAACTCGAGCTTCCGGACAGCTACAGAGCTGGTAAGCACAGTTATCCGATGTAGTATGATTAGGCGCGCTTGCCTGTTGAATCCAGAGGTCTGAACTCGGTCTGTTAGCCGAGCTAGGTCCGCAAACCTATTCGTATTATTCGAGTCATCTTGACAGGGGCTCTCGGTTTTCTGTACTTAACTCGAGCTGTAGGACAGCTACAGAGCTGATATTTACAGAAACCGATTCAGAATTATCAGTTGCGTTTGTCTGTCGAATCCAGAGCTCTGAACTCGGTCTGCTGCCCGATCTAGAATCGCGAAACTATTCGTATTGGTCGAGTCATCTTCAGAAGTGCTTTCGGTTTTCTTCACTCAACTCGCGCTCAGGGGGGCTACAGTGCTGGTGGTCACAGGAATCGATTTGAAGACATCAAGCGCGTCCGCCTGTCGACTCCAGAGCTCGGAACTCGGTCTGCTGCCCGAATTAGGTCTGCGAAACTACTGTATTGTTCGAGTCATCCTGAGAGGTGCTGTCGGTTTTCTGCACTAAACTCGGGCTGTAGGGGGCTGCTGGGCTTGTAAATACAGGAATCGATTCGAATGCATCAGAGGCGTCCGCCTGTCGCATTCAGAGGTCAACAAATATTCACTATGAGTCGGAATGTTGCTAGGTGCTGTCGGTTTTCGCAACTTAAGTCGAGCTAGGAAGCTCTACGAGTCTCCCGGCGGTAATCAAGGTTGACGGTTTACCGCCGGCGCCCAGTAACTCGTTGCTGGAGAGCCAGTTGGCAAGAAAAAGTCCCGGAGAGCTCGCTGAGAGCTAAAGGGTTGAAAATTGGAAGCCGGACGGTGGTGGTGCCCGCCAGGAGCTCTTCCGCGGCGCTCCAGAATCCCCGCAGCAGTTTGTTCGACCCGGCAACGTGTCCGGGAGAGCTTCCGGCAAGCCTCCACGCGTGCCTGCATGCGTGCAGGCACGCATGGAAGCGTTTCTGGCAGCGGCTCTGCAGCGCTCCAGGGGGCTCCCAAGACTTTCCCGGAAAGATTTCCCGTCCCCGAGATTCTCTTCGCTCTCCGGATTTTGTCAACAGACAAGGGCCACTCATGATTCTGAATCAGATTCAGTACGTATCAGCTCCGTTCTGTACCTCGTAGAGCTCTTCGGCATCGATGAGCTAGAGGAATTCCGGCGCGGGGTGGAGCTAGTTGGACCGCCCGGCCAGAAAGGACAAATAGGTGACTTTTGGTCGGTTTTGCAAATATTTAAAAGATATTTGACCATTTATTTGAAAGAGCAGATTCTCGCGCGTCGCATTGACGTATGAACTTCTCTCCGACTGCAGCTCAGCTCTCCGGATGGATTTTTGCATGAGTTGACTTCCGGGAACTGAGCGAATGTGAACATCGAAAAAATAAAAAAACAAGATTTTCGAAAAATCTCTATTTTTTGACTCTGTGTCGATTCTCAGCAATCTGACCAGTGGAAGGAGCTCTACGAGATTCCCGGCGGTGGCCAGGTTGACGGTCCACCGCCGGCGCCAGTACTTTAGCTCGACTTAAGTACAGAAATCCAGAGCGTCTCTTAAGATAACTCGAATAATACGAATATCTTTGCGAACCTAGCTCGGCTAGCAGATCGAGTTCGGACCTCTCGGTTCAACAGGCGAACGCGCCTGATTATTCTGAATCGGTTAGCTGTGCTGACCAGCTCTTTACCTGTCCTGAAGCTCGAGTTATCTTGAGAAAACTGTCACCGCGTGACAAGCTGACCCAAAACGGGCGATCCCGCCGTAGTGCTTTTTGGCAGTAAAAGGTACCCGATCGAGCTGAGATCAAGATGGCGAGCGGGAATAAGATCGAATATCACGGGAAATAATACTAGAGCTCTAACGAATGATTGAGTTTCGGGATTTGAATTTTCAACTGACCACAAGTCATCAAATGTCCGTCGAGATTGGTAGCATCCTGGACTGCCCCTCGACAGACCCCAGACTGACCCCGGACTGACCCTGGACTGACCCGGACTGACCCCAGACTGACCCTGGACTGACCCCGGACTGACCCCGGACCATCCCGGACTGACCCCGGACTGACTCCGGACACCCCGGACTGACCCCGGACTGACCCCAGACTGACCCGGACTGACCCCGGACTGACCCCGGACTGACCCTGGACTGGCCCCGGACTGGCCCCGGACTGGCCCCGGACTGGCCCCGGACGCCCCCGACAGACCCCGGACTGACCCCGGACTGACTCCGGACTGAGCCCGGACTGACCCCGGACTGACCCCAGACTGACCCCGGACTGACCCCGGACTGACCCCGAACTGACCCCGGACTGACCCCGGACTGAGGACCGACCCCGGACCGACCCCGGACCGACCCCGGACCGACCCTGGACCGACCCCGGGCTGACCTCGGACTGACCCGGGACTGACCCCGGACTGGCCCCGGACTGGCCCCGGACTGACCCCGGACTGACCCCACTTGGATGGGCGGTGTGGTTCCTATCGAATTTGGTTGGTTATATCTCCGTATATCCTAGCTTATAACTTGGTCATATCTTCTTATAACCCACTGGAAGCGCTGATCTGAGATAATACCAGAGCTAACTGTTTGGGGCGAATGCGTATCTGATCTATCTGCTAGCGCAAGATGCTATGCAACATAGTTGCGAAGCTAACTACATTACCATCACCTTCGTATCTATTTAGGCCAGATATCTAAGCGTTTAGCAACCACCTATAACCTACTTGCGCCCCCCTTCTAATCAAGATAGCGATCTGGGTTAGCGAAATTAGCGAACCAGGTTAGCAATATCGTAAACTCGTTTTACAACATGCGTTTTTCTGTTTGCCAGAACAGAAATCATGCTTCCCAGGGGCAGCGTTGGACATAGCCGTTTTGGCTCAGACCACAGGCGAGGGCGATTTCGAGAGCTTCTTGTGATACTTCAGATTTGCGGAACACAGATTTTACTTTTCACAAGTTGATGTCTATCCAGATTGATTTCATGTCTCGCCTCCCTGCGGTGGCTGCAAGATTGAATGAGGAGGTGATGAATTTCAATATGTTGGATTTGTCGACTCTAGACAGCGATGCAAAATCGTTGCAGCTGAAGGCCAAGTCCGCAGAGTGCGTGAAGCTGTTGTTGGACAACGGGCTGGCGTATCGTGCTCGAGTTCGGTCAGAGAAGGGTGGCACGCACAGCTGCAACAGGCAGGGTCAGGGCGTCGACCCGTTCGACGTTCACAGTCTAGGCAAGCGGATATGTGAACAAGGATTCGTGTGGAGCAGGGTCGACGACCCAGTCGCGTTCGAAGTGGATCACAGTTCGGACACCCAGTACATCTTCAACAAAAATTTGGCGGACAACTCTGGGGGGCAACTCGCTCCCGTCGTGAAGGTGGATCTCATCATGGTTACAGTGTCTTGCTCGCATTCTCTGCAGTGGTACAAGGCCGTGAATTATGGCTGCCGCACACATTTGGAATCATTGAGTTCGAACGGGCGTCTATCCAAAGATAAGGTCCAACAATTCAAATGCAATATTTCGTGTCCGTAAGAGCTCGATCCACCAGCCTATCGCCCCAGCCCCGATCCATAATCCTTGTCCGTGGGGGTGGAGGCGGAGGGAGGATTGGGAGGGGCACGGAGGATGATGAAGATCATGACACATAGGTTGGTGGGTCGAGCTTTTAATTGGCTCGCTGTTTATTGCATTTGGCATCCTCAGGTGGTTGCCGTCAACCCCAGCCAAGCCGATGCTCTTGATAATGGGTTGGAATGGGTAATAATTCGTAAGGAAGTGGAGGCGGCGGTGCCAGGTTTGCCGTACTACTTGGCTGAGTGCGGCAACGCTGGCCACGGCACCGAACGGATCCAGACGAAGTTGCAGACGTTGTTGCAAATCTTCTCGCGCGGCAAGCAGAACTTCGAGTCAACTGGAGACTACAAGTGGGCAGCTGTTGCCCAGCGTATTGAGAGTACCAACCCGCACCTTGCCAAGCAGGTGCTCGACATGACCAAGTTCGTGGACAGGTATTCAGGTGGAGGTGTTCGCGGCATATTCCTGGAGGAGCTGGACCTTTGGAGCAAGCAGCTCAGGAGCCGTTGCGAGGTGAACGGCAGCACGTTCAGGATACTTGGAGAGGCAGAATTCTTATCTGGACCCGAACTGATCGTCGCCATGCTGAAGGCGGCCTACGTTTCGCCCGACAACCACCAGCGCATGGGCATATCGACGTTGCTTACGAGCACGGACATCTCGAACGTGGTCAACAAGAAGCGCGCGGAAGCAATCAACGTCTGCGAGATGATCAGGACCGCCAAGAAGTTCTACACTGACCACGCATCAGACTTGATGGACAAGAGTACCTACATCAGGATCCGCGGTGATATGGAAGTGCGGGCAGTCATGTTTCTCTTGGCAAAAAAAAACACCGAGGAGGCGCACCTTCTCCAGCCTCGCTGAGATCAAGGTCGAGTGGTGGAATGACGTGAAGGCCGCCATGCCCCCAGACTTCGCGCTCGTGAGCCCCTTCGGGCAAATCCAGCCCCCGTCGTCTGGCAGTGGTAGCGTCGGCCCACATATGGTCTGCTTTGGTGCTGATGGAGGGGTTTCACAGGAGACGCTGAAGCAGCACGGCTTTGTGCTGAAGGCGGAGGTCGAGCTCAAGAAGAATGACACCGATGTTGCGACTGCTAAGCCCAAGAAGTGGATCATCAACGAGTTCAGGGGTTCCGACGTGGTCCTCCTCAACACGTACGTGGCGGAGCCAGCGAAAGTCGCGAAAGGCAAGGGCAAGAAACTGAACCAGAAGAAGAACGAGGACACCATGACCGTGTACAGTGGCGAGCTCCTCGACAAGTACAAGGCCGTGAAGATCATGACCTACCACCTCGTGTCGTGCAAGACGTGGGACATCCTGAGCAACAAGGAGGTGCAGGTCGAGCTCGCCAAAGCCACCCTTCGCAAGGCCCTTTGCCACGCTTTCAATGTGTATAGGCCTGTTGCTGATCTATCAATAACGTACACAGTCGATCCTAAGTTTGAGATTCGGGATATTGTGGCCGAGAGGGACTTTGGCAAGAGCGAGCTCGTGATGGTTCCTTTCACCCTTTCTGTTGGTGTATGCGATGCCACTAGAGTGCCTTCTACTGGCGTCGTCGTACCGATGCCGCCGAAACTTCCAGACGACCTCGTGGCATACGTGTCCCCAACAGTGGCTTTCCCAAAGCAGGAGCTCGGCAAGAAAAGCCCAATGCCAGTGGCGTATTGGGTTGTCCACAGCGGCAAGGTTTTCAACGTACAGCCAGGGGTTTTGAAAATTGAGGTGAGCGCTGTCGTTGCAGACAGCGGCAAGAAGCGAAATATTGAGGTAGGGTTGCCAATGTTGTTCAACAAGACTGGCTCGATCAAGAAGGGAGATAAAATTATTCGGGGCGAGCCAGGGAGTCCGTCGTCCCCAGCCAAGAGGTCTCTCGCTGCCTCGGCTTCTACTCCGAGCAAGCGGGTCAAAGAGTGAGTGAACCCACGACATCTGTTTCTGATTGATGAGTGGGGGTGCCGCGTGCAGCGGTTTTGCGCTGCGCCGCACGCGCGCTCGCGCGTGCGATGTATTTTGCACCCCCACTCGCTGCTTCGAGCTCGTCGCAACCTGCGGCGTACCGCATAAGAGACGTTGATGTGTCGACGCCGTTGCGCGTCGGTAGCAAGGCCAGGAACACAACACAGCGAGGGTGAGGGTTACCAAGAGGAGGAGGAGGAGGAGGAGGAGGAGAAGTAGAAGGAAGAAGAGGAGGAGGAGGAGGTCAAGAGAAACAGAACACGATAACACAAGTATGCGAATACGTCCCTCCTCCTCATCCTCCTCCTCCTCCTTCCCTGGGTGGCACACGGGTACACGCAACTAAACACAGTGCCCACGTCACCGTCGACAGCAGCAACAACAACACCACCAACAACAACATCGGCACCATCGGCACCATCACCATCTATCATCATCGTCAACATCACCGCCATCACCATCGTCACCATCGTCATCGGCATCATCATAACCGTCATCGGCACCATCATCGTCACCATCACCATCATCATCGTCAGCATCAGGCCCCAATTCCAGAACCATCGTCACCATCATCGTCGCAATCCCCATCATCACCGCAGCCGTTTGGGCTGTCCAGCACTCGACCGAAATTGGTGGTCTCACGTCTTCTGTTGGTTGGTCGAGGCTGCCACTCGACACCTTCGGCCATGGCGCAAGCGGGCCACGTCTGCATTGACCTTGGGTACGGTATGATATCTCTGGATCCTTCCCCGAAGATCACAAACTCATGGGTCACCAAGGTGATGGACAAACACGGGAAACAGTGGGTGGAATGCGATAGGCTTGTGGCTGCCTTCTCTAAGTTGGTGAAGAAAGACTTCCGCATGTTGAGCAAGCTGCAGACCTTGCGTAGCCAGAAATGCCAGGAGCTGATGTTGGACTTCATGAGCGGTCGGGAGGAGCCTGAGCTCGACGTTGCCAGCGCCGCCTCGGACCCCCACCAGCCTCCTCCTGCCAAGAGGGCGAAGACAGAGATGGTGGACAACATCGAGGGTTACGTGCAGATCACCGTCACGGACTCCAGCATGAACGAGCACACGGTCAATTGCTTACCTGCCCCGTACCAGCGCTCGAAGCTCGTCGTAGAGCTGACCGAGGCGAACATCCTCTTGTTGACCAAGGCACCGAGCTCCGAGGAGAACGCAGAGTTCGTGCCCGAGATCAGCTATGCCGACGTTTGGTGGCTGCCGTACCGCAGGGCCCTTCGGACGAGCTACTGGCACTCTGAGGTCAAGAAGATGACCTTCAGAACCCAGCAGGTCAAGACGGGGACCCCCGAGGAGATGCAGCACAGGGCCGAAGTCCTCGGCAAGCAGTTGCAAGAGCTCCACGACGCCAACCCCGAGCAGTCATCATAGGGCCATTGACGTCGGCGTGTTGTTGGCGCGCCAGTCTGCAGTATTGCTTTGGGTATTCGCATGTGTCCATGCGAATGCACGTTGCTGCAAGCTACTGGCGCTGGACCACGGCTCACTCTAGTCGCAGGCAGGGGCAACGGGGCACCAGCCAGAAGCGCGCAAAAAACATCGTCACCATCGTCATCACCATCATTGACACCATCGTCATCATCAACATCCCCACCGCCATCATCGCAACGTTCCAGGAGCCACGGTACCCGTGACAAGGGGGAAGAAGAAGGAGGAAGAGGAGGAGGAGGAGGAGGAGGAGGAGGAGGTGGAGGGGGAGGAGGAGGAGGACGGTGAGGAGGAGGAGGAGGAGGAGGAGGAGGAGGACGGTGAGGGGGAGGAGGAGGAGGAGGAGGAGGAGGAGGAGAGGAGGAGGAGGAGGGGAGGAGGAGGTGGAGGTGGAAGAGGAGGAGGAGGAGGAGGAGGAGGAGGAGGCTGAGGAGGAGGAGTCGGGCTGGCGCCTCTCGCCGCGCGCGCGCGCCGCCCCGCCGCTCTCTCCGCCCTTGACGGTGCGCCGCACCCCGCGTGCGCGGGGCAGGGCGCGAGGGGGGGGAGGTGCAACAGCTGTTGAGGTCACGACGATGACGACAGGTATGACGAATGACGAAGACGGCTACGATGATGAGGTGGATGAGGCGAGTGAGGAGTACGATGAGACGGAGGGGGAGGAGGGCACACGAGAGGTGACGGCGAGTTGAAAGACGATGAGGACGACGACGAATCAGCAGCTATGGTACGATTTGGAGTGGGAGGATGTCGTCGATGATGGTGTAGAGGCAGCTCTGAAGCCAGACTGTACATCTCCGTCCTCCCCTCTTCAGTCCTCCGTCCTACCGCATCCCTCCTCCCTCTTCCATTCCTCAATCCCGCCTCGTCCTCATCATCAGCCTCCTCATCCGAATCCAGCAGCCTCCTCCTGGGGGTGCCGCGGACGTCTGTGCGAGGTAGTGTGGTCTGACAGTGCGAGTGAGCACAAAAGTGCTCACTCGCCAGGGCGAGTGAGCACAAAAGTGCTCACTCGCCAGAGCGAGTGAGCACTCGCATTTTGAGCTGGTTGGCGAGTGCTCACTCGCCAGGGCGAGTGAGCACTTTTGTGCTCACTCGCCCTGGCGAGTGAGCACTCAGAACCAACCGGGTACCCGGAACAGGTGGCGCCCGTCTGATCAGCATCGGTGCCCGCCTGACTGAGCTCGAGCATCACAGGTTGTGCTCATTGCCCCCCTCGCGTGTTGACCGATCGAGTGGACTGAGGGGGGTGCTGGACCCGACACCTGGGGGGTGAGATGCGATTCGGTGCGCCTCGTGACCCTTTCGAGGGCAGGGCTGGGATCCCTCGGCTTGCCAGCTAGAGCTCGACAGAGTACTCAATGTGGTGGCACCGACGTCGATGCACCCCCCCCCGTTCCCCCGTCCCCCCTCCCCCTCCCCCTCCTCCTCCTCCTCCTCCTCGTCCTCCCCCTCCTCCTCCTCCTCCTCCTCCGAGGGTAAGAGTTGGGTCGTTGGTGCACCGCCTCGCTGGCAGCCTCCACCTCCTCCTGCCTCTGGCTTGTAGCCGTTTTGGCTCAGAGAGTGGCCTTGGGAATACAAACTTCGACTTCTGACGTTTGGTGTGGTTCACTCGCTCTCTTTCGCGCCATGGCCGTGGAGTCTGTTGCTGGTGCTTTGGTCAATGAGATCAGGAGCAGGCTTCACTTCGTTGAGAATCTCGCCAACGGCGGGATGGACAGGGTCGCTCTCATGGAGGCGCAGGCCCAGACACTCATCTCCGTCCTTACCCACGCTTCTGGTATGACGATGGATGTCGCCACCGTGGTCTCGCAAGAGATCAACGGTGGTCCGTGGAGCCCCGCCCAGAAGACGATGCTGTGCAGCGTCCTGGGCGACCGCATGGCGAACGCCGACTCGTCCAAGAGTGGCGGCCAGAAGAACGCCCGCGCTCAGCAGACGTGCAAGACGCTCCACATGTACCTGACGAACTTGGACTGGAGCCTTCTCAAGGACGATAGGCGCAGTCCCCTTTCCAAGCTCGAGGTGATTGGGACCAGGATGTACAAGATCGGCTTGACGTGCCCAGGAGCTTCCGTCTTGAAGAGGGCAGTCGGGATCATTATGATTGTGGGCCTACCGTCTGGCCAAGATGAGATCTCGGCGCAGACCCAGAGGCAGTGGATGACGGACCTCCAGTCGCTCATCAAGGCAATGGACGAGAAGGCCACGCACCCTGCACAACACGTCAAACACCTGCCTGACGACCCGCGCGCTCTCGCGCCGCCCGTGTTCCACTTCGCCTACGGCGACGACGTGCCAGGGGAGCCGCCGATCGAGGTGACCACGCAGTTGCTGGACATGATGGAGGACAGCCTGGGCTACAGGACGACGCACAAGTCGTTCAGGACGCAGTCTGGACCAACTTCGGGGAGCTCGTCGGCTGGCGTTCAGCAGCACTTCGGTGGCAACACGGGCAACGCCATGGGCGACATGATGGCCAACTTCGCCATGATGGCCCGCATGATGATGCAAGGCGGTGCCGCTCCTGCTTCGTATCAGCCCCCGACTGAAGCCACCGTGAGGCTCCTGGACTGCGGGCCCAGGGCCATGCGGCCGCCCTCCTCCCATGGAACGATCAGCGCAGCTACGCTGCCCATGGGTTCCCATCAGTGTCGAATTCGGGTTCCCCATTGGCGCTGGCAGATTCTCCTCCCGAAGCGGCTGCTGGTGCGCACGCACTTGCACCTACTCATGGCCCAGGTGCACCGCTTCTTGACGCGGGTCCTGTCCCTCGCGATGTCGGTCTACCTGCTGATGAACCGTCAGCTGCAGATGATGCCCAGGCGTTGATCGATGCCATGTCCGCAGCAGCTCGCGCAGCTGGGAGTCACTTGGCGGGGCCCGCTGCCAAGAAGGCGGCCGAGGACACTGTCGGCGACGGTGCCGCGCCTGGCAGGGGCAGGGGCAGGGGCAGGGGCAGGGGCAAGGGAAAGGCCAAGGCCAAGGCTGCGCCCAAGCCCAAGCCCTTGCCCAAGTCAAAAGCTAAGAGCGCTGCCAGCACAGCGACGGAGGGTGCTGTCAAGGGCATATTCAAAGCCAACTCCGTCAGCGTGGACGTTCGCCCATTCCTCAAGAAGTCGTGCATCGAGTCTCGGGATCGCAACACGTACGCGAGCTGGGTCTATGGCAAGGCCAAGACAGTTGCTAGGCAGGCTGGCCTGTCGGACAAGTTCTCACTCGACGTAGCCAGGCTCGCGTACCAGTCAGCGTCCGAGCTCTGGAAGAACTCGTGAGTGGTGCGGGTTGTCGGCAACCCTCTTCTCTTGACGCGGGCCTCTCCGCTGCTGTTGTCCAGTGCGCTGCTAGTGTTTCGCTTGGGGATGCGATTCCACCCAGCGCGCGATTCGTTTCAGTGGTTTGTGGAGCAGACGGTTCGTTGAAGAACACCTTTTCTGCACTTAGACCAAGCAACGCACAAATGAGAGGAGCAATGCACATACGGGGCGCGAATGCACCTCCTCCCTC